GTTCGATTTATTAATTTGTTCCCTCATTTTAGTTAAATCATGGATTATTTAAGGAACAAAATTAATTAAACATGGACAGTGGCCACAAATTAATAAGTCGTAGGAATGAATTAACAAGTTGTAGGAATGAATAGCCTATCCTCCTTCCCCCGCAATGTCCCGCAGCCCTGCAAACTTCACCTAATTGTTTAAAATATGAAACAATTATCTGGGGAAATGACTGTTACTACATTTCTATTGCATTCCATGTTGAAGAACTTTGTGTTGTTTCTATTTTAATGTACTTTTAAAGTTTAAATCACATTAAAAGCTTAATTTGTAATTATGAGTGAATGATGATGCATTTATATACCGTCACTCACAGCCGCTCGCACGTGTTTTGCGCATGAGCCCCACGCAGCCCAAAATTAAACGACTTAATCGACCATCGAAAGATTTAATCGTTTGAGTATCTTATCAACAATTAATCGATCATCGATTAATCGTTGACATCCCTAATCTATCTATCTATCTATCTATATATAATTCATGTCCTTGTTACACTTAATGTTTACACTAAGTGCAAATAGCTATAGATTCTATTTACACCTAGCAGGATTTTCAGCTATTTATACTACTTATTGCAGATAGTGGCAACTGTCTGCACCTCAGTATTGTAGTACATTATAAAACAGTATGCAATAATAACAATAACAACGACGTGATATCTGATTTGAAAAAGTAGAAAAAAAAAGTTCGGCAAAAAGTTCGATCGCGTCAAAAACGACTTCCAACACGTACTTTACCACCTGCGCCACTGGAGCAGTTATTAGACAATAGTCTTTTGTAATGCTTTGTAATCACACGTTGATGGGCGGAGTTAGTGTAAATAGCCTCTGCCAACAAGGCGGGCTATTTGCACTTGTAAATAGACACTCCGTTTTTTATTTGTGAACTGATGTTCAGCTGTTCTTTCTAATAGTTAACTTATTTTCGGGTCATCGTCATAAAAGCCCTGTAAACTTTGTCACAGGCACGAAGATACATCTTTCATTTCATCAAGCTGAATGCTCACTAAAAATTGACATCACATTTTCAAGTCATTTCATGTTTCATTTTGATGTGACACAGAGCAGTGATATCTAAGCAGGAGAGTTGTTTACTTACTTTATAATTAGTCAATCGTTGACTATTGCAAAAGTTCATCATTTTCTTCATTCAGGCCGAGAGCTCGCACGAAACTTTATAAAAACGAGTGACTTTTAGACTGTTAATGTCATATTTAGTCATATTTGCGTTGTTTTATTTTTGTAATATCGATTATTTTCTCATCCACTTTTGAGGAGAGGAGACACTGTCTCCCCTTGCCTCCTCAAAGGAAATGCCCCTGGATCACATATATATAGAGAGACGATAGTAAAAGGACACATAAAAGGTCACATCTCATAGCATATTGCCTGTGGAAATAAGAATTAAAGGGGTCATATGATGCGATTTCAAGTTTTCCTTTCTCTTTGGAGTGTTACAAGCTCTTGGTGCATAAAGAAGATCTTTAAAGTTGCAAAGACTAAAGTCTCAAATCCAAAGAGATATTCTTTATAAAAGTTAAGAGTCAGCCACACCTACCTAAAACGGCTCGTTCTAACACACCCCTTGTAAGTGATCTTAAAGATTCCTAAATGCATCTACTTCTGGAAGGCAAAATAAAGTGCTTTTGCTTTTGCACTGAAACACACAGCGTCTCCCTGACATGTTGCTTCAACACTAACTGCTGTTACTGAAACCATGCCTTCTTTCTTTGCGTGCACATTTGCGGCGGGATTATGCAAATATTTCCACATAGTGGGGTAGATATGTGGGGGCGTGTTAGAATGAGCCGTTTTAGGGGGGCGTGGCAGAGTCTTAACTTTGATAAAGAATATCTCTTTGGTTTTGAGACTTTAGTCTTTGCAACTTCAGGGATCTTATCTATGCACAATCAGCTTGTAACACTCCAAAGAGAAAGGAAAACTTGAAATCGCATCATATGACCCCTTTAATATATTATTCTAATGTTTTTCAATACAAATAAAAGTTATTGAGAGGAAAAATAAAATTAATAATAAGCTTAGCTTATATATTGATGTTTTTATCATTTTAATTAAATTTATACATAAGCCCCTTTCACACAGTGCGTTGATTCAGGAAAATTGCCAGAGTGCCTTCTGTGTGAACACAAACACGTCCCGGGATTGATCCCGGAACAATCCCGGATTGGGGACCTAGTAACATTGCCGGGATCAGTCCCGGAACGAGTGCTGTGTGAACAAAAGCCAGGACCAATGCCGTAAAGGGTGTGTCGTAGTGATAACGCATGTTATCGTGCGACTACTTTACCGGGTGTTTTGAAGGCAGATCAATGTTCATGATGAAGAATATGTGCAATCTGTAATGAAGCAGAGATCAGGAAGTGCCTCACTAACCGCGCTGAAGCTGAAATCATTCGCCAGTTTAGTTGAACGATACGTGTCGCATTACACGTCAAATCCAAATCTTTATGGGTTGTGTGTGAACGCACGCGCAGATTCCGGAAAATCATTGCCAGTGTGAATGAACCAAAATCAAACCATCCCTGGACAAATCACGGGACACATTTTCTGTGTATTTTCCGGAATGGCTGTGTGAAAGAGTATATATATTAATGATTATATAATGTGGCTTAATACATGTAAAAGTGTGTTAAAAGATCTATTGACATAAAAGCAGTTAATCTAATCAATGCACCTCTACTAACCATAAAAAGCCCTAAAACAAATCACAGAAGCATGATACAGGCCGACCTGTGAGAAATATGACACATGTGTGTCTAGTGATCAGTAACCAACCTGTTGGAAGGCCTCATTGAGCTGGCCCTGCTGTAGTAACTGCAGTATGCTGGCCTGCTGGGCCTGGTAGTCCAGATGTGCGGACGGTACAGGTGTTCCTGCGGCCGAGCGCATGGCCTGCATGATGCTGGAGGTGACAGCTGCCTGCTGCTCCTTCATGGCCAGACTCACCTCTCCCTTCACTATGCGCTGCACCTGCGTCAGGATTGAGTCCTGCAGACTGCAGAGAGGACAGACACCTTTAGTCTACACAAATTTTATAACAAAAGACAGGATTCTACTCCCAATAAAATTTATCAAATTAATGGAGTGTATTTAATAAGATATGTCACCATTGAACACTGCTGTGGTATAAAAATGAGAAGTGGTCAACCAATATGGATTTTTTGATGGCCAATATAAAGCACATATACATGATATCACAGTATCTAAAGACCGCAAATAACATGTAAAAAAAATATCAATTTCATTGCAGGATATTTACCAAATTTGAAAGCATTTGAAAAATAATAAGAAACCTGATGAAAAAATAAATCTGTAATCCCACTATAGTTTACAATATCCTACCAATGTTACAAACATGACTAAAAAGGAAATAAACACTGTAAGTGACACTTTTCATGGCAATAAATTACATACTCAGAGATGTTTTAATTATATAAATACAAATTTGATAAATGCGACAAACGTATATATTGTTTGCCTTTCTATTATAACAGAAAAGCAAACACTGTAATACTTGGTAGATACCATTTACTTACAACCGTTTAGTCTTATAAATTATTATAAAAATGTTACACAAAGACAGTAACTTAAGATGTGAAATAATGGGATCTCCTGTATGTCTGTTCAGGGATTTTTCAGCACATTAAAAATTAAAGTCCAGCTTCCAACAATTATTGGCCAAAGAGAAAAACTTAGCACATGGCAATAATTTAATAATACACTAAAATGGGTATTGATTACGGTTAAATTCCATGGTTATTATTTTTTGTTTGTAAGTTATCGATGAAGATTCCACTGACGAAGAACATGTTAAAACACAATAAATGTACAGTGATTAAAAACCTATATAAGCTTTGAAGAGTGGTTTAGGCTACATTTTGAATTTATTGGAACTTTCGTATTGCAATGTAAATCTCAATGTAACAAACAATATTTAGCTATTTTTTTGGTTTCAAAGGCCACAGTGATTTAATCCTGAATTTAATACTACATACTTTATACTGCAATTGAGTGGGAGGGAAACAAACTAGCTCTATTGACAGAAATTCAAGTGCCACACCTGCCAATCCATTTGCCCGGTACTCAATGCAGAGCTCCAAAAAATGCTTTCTCTGCAATAAATCCTAAATCAATCGCTTCTTCTATTCATGCAATAAAGTCTTCCATAAGGGAAGGCATACAAGAGGAAAGAGAATAAACGATTGCTGCATTTCTCCTATCCTTATATTTAATTCTAATAGGGATGCATTGATCCGATACTCCGTATCGGTATCGGCTCCGATACTGGCATTTTCTGCCGGATCGGGTATTGGTCAGACGAGACCGATCCAAATCCGATATTCTGCGTATACCAGTGATGGGCAAACTTGGCCCTTCCAGGCCACTTTCCTGCAGAGATTTGATCCAACCCTGATAAAACTCACCTGCCTGTAGCCTTCTAGTAGTCTTGAAGACAATGATTAGTTGGTTCAGGTGTGTTTGATTAGGGTTGGAGCTAAACTCTGCGGGAAAGTGGCCTGGAAGGGCCAAGTTTGCCCACCCCTGGCGTATACTATTCTGTGTTATTGTTAAGCCTCACGAAGCACAAAAACATTATAAAGCACCATAAAGTCAAAGTCCAAGTGTTCTGAAGCCGTTCCATAATTTAATGCGGGGCATAGAGGACCTACAATAATGTACAGTATTTGAAAAATAATGTGTTTTTTGAACATTAAAGCATGTCAACATATTCTGTTACACCAAATACACAAAATAATGATTTTTAAAATAGCATCATATGACCCCTTTAAGTCATTAAATTCAAGTTCACGTAAACTCTTCTCTCCGCTGCAGCTGTCTGTCATCCTCCATTCAGCGTTCAAACTGTGTGTTGCGTTCGGTTATGACAGTCAAAACAATGAAACTCTCTTCAAGAGCACACAGTAACTGAAATTTAAAACTGTTAAAAGAAAAGGCTCAAACTATCGCACAGATTTAATACACTACGCATCAATATCTCTTTCCTTTGTGCTTTGAACTTCTATATGCGTAGCGCTGCACGTTGTGACTCCATGTTGCTTCAAGCTAGGGCTGGGCAATTTGGCAAAAAATGTAAATCTCGATTTTTCCAGAACGTTTGACCGATTCTAGATTTTTTTATTACGATTTTTAACTAGTCAACTTAAAAATGTAACTACAACATCATTCAAGTAACTTTTTCTTTATTAACCCTCTAGTTAAAAAAGTTCTATTCCAAGTGCAGACCACATGAAGTTGTCAACATGATGTAAATATTAAACAAATCACTTGTTAAATATCTTTGCAGAAAAGATGCATGAACTACAACTACATATTGTACAAACTTGTCTTATACATATGGCTGGGTATCGTTCAACAAAAGTCAAGGTAATTCAAATTCAAAATGACTGAAGGTATAACAACCAGTAGACTATTATTATCTATAAATGTTCTGTAAAAACAACGGCAGCTTTCAGCCTGTCACCATGATGCAAACATGAAATATCAGACATACAGTAGTAGTTCTTTTTCATTGTAAACATGGATGTGTTTGACTGTTGCACTTGCGTCTCTTGCAGTGTCTCATGCATGAAATGGATGGCCTTCTAAAAACACTGTGCTCAAGTTAAAAGAAGTTCACTCTTCTTGCATGTTTTACCTATTCCACTGCCCGCGTCGCATCTTTGTCAACACAAAAGCGCATTCTGTGTGAATGGCGCTTAGCGCTATGAGCGCGTCACACGTGAGCGGTTAATCACGTGCGCCGACATGCGGTTGGATCGTTTTCTCTTTACTGTTATCACCGGCATATTGTCAAAGTGTCTAATTCTAACATTTATATTTCTCTCTATTCAAAATCGCGATTCCTCGATTTAGTGTCTAATTCTAACATTTGGTAATATTTCTATTCAAAATCGCGATTCCTCGATTTCTAAAAAATAAAATCGTGGCAAAACACTGAATTTGAATTAATCGATAAAAACGCCCAGTCCTACTTCAAGCGCATCATTCTGTGCACGAGATGCGCATAAGAGCTTTGTGCCGCTCTATTGGGGCTTTTCGTAATATAATACTTTTGCACAATGAAAGATTATTTATAGCGTTTCTTTTCTGTCCTATGATCGGACGGAAAAAGAAAGGCTATAAATAATCTAATGTATAGCACAGTAATGGAGGTAGCAACATATGATAGATAGGACTCCTATCTATCATATGCTGCTTCCTTCATTACTGTGCGATACATTTAATAGAAATGTCTTTTAATTTTATAGTTTATATTTATATATAAATACATTTACTTGTTTTCATTAATGTATTTTACAACAATACAAAGAGCAATGTGTAACATTTGACCAGATTTAGTCCTACACTAAATTTCAATACATATACAATATACAATATACAATACAATAAATATTCACTTTTATTTGTTCCCCACTAAATAATGTTATTTCACTAAATGTTTAGATTTTATTAAATTGTGCACTCATGATTTTTCTAGAATAACTTTTGCTGCTAAATTATCCACTAACCTAGTTTATAATAGTATTTTTGTCAAAGATTATGATATATTTTTTCATGTTATTTTTCATTAAAATTAAGTTGTCTATATTTAGTAGATTGTGTTTAACACACAAAAGAGTGACGATCAGGTCACAGAAGTATAGAAATTCTACATTGATACTCAGAATTTTCTGAATCGGATCGGAAAAAATTGTATCGTTGCATCCCTAATTTCTAACAAATATTGGATGAGCTTTGTGCTGCATGCGTGCGGCGGTAAGCCTTACTTTCCCACGATCATGTGGAGCTGATGCTGAACGTCAGAGCACACGCTGGCCGTCACAGTGGTGGCCAGCTGGTCTTGAGAATTCTGGAGAGTGTCAATCATCTGTTGCAGCTGGCCAATCACAGGATCCCGTGCATCCTGGTCCCGCTGTTTCCTGTTCTTGATGTGTGTCTCCAGCTGTTGGATGTCTGCGGGAGAATGTCAAGTCATTAGATATTTAGTTACAGCAACACATTACAACACTGCTTGACACAGAAGAGTTTTATTAATTAGCTGGTGCTACAAGATGTGCAAATCTGGCCTAAGAGCATTCAACAATCTGCCAGATTCATTCATATGCTCCACTTAATTTTTCATTACCATAAACAAGCACAAATAAAAAAGTCAGATGGGTAGTGAAGTCTACTATGATAGCTCTTACACTCGTTGGTTCCCTGTTTGAAGCTGTCATTGATCTGCTGAAACATGGACTGGCAGCCTCTCTCAAACACGGGCAGCACGATGCTCTGGAAGGTCTCTTTGTAGGCCGCCTGGATGGGGCCCTGCATGGCCTCTGCAGCAGCACGACCGATAGCATCCGTAGTGTTCTGTGAATAGAAGAATAGGACAAAAAGTTAGAAGAGTTATGAGTTTTCCCCAGTTTGTGCCTGTTCGGTGTTCCGCAATGAATTATTCAGTGCTACATCAGTGCATAGAAGTTGGTGCACTTCTTCTGAACCGCTCAGTTTGTAGTATGTCTTTCAGAGAAACATCCTTTCCAGCCAGAAATGTTTTTAACTCAGTCTTTGGAAAATAATATCATAACAAATGTCAAGTTTGGATTAAAAAAAACTATTTAAAAGTGTTCATTCTCAAACTTTCAGCCACTGACCTTGGATTTAACAACTTTGGTGACATTTTCCTTCAGTGTTCCTTCCACTGCGGTTAACTTGGCAGCGATGGTGCTGCTCATCTGGCCAGTCACAGGATCTAGACTCTTCGATATGGCTGCATAACAGAAAAAAAGGTCACCTAAAGCTCCACACAAGCCTTAAATCAATAAAAGTCTTTGCTCCAACTATTTTACGGTCACAGAAGAAGAGCAGAATGCTCATTGGTGTATTGAACTCTATGAGAAAAAAAGTACACTTGAGGTCTTGTGTTCAGAACATCAGCACTCACCCTGTGGGACGGTCTTCTTCATTTCTTCACGCAAAACTTTGTCTAGCCGATTGCAGAGACTGTTGTTCAGTGTCTGGACAAGCTGCTGAACCAGCTGGTCCTGGAGCTGTTGGTTCCGGCTTTGTCCTTCAGCCAGAATTCTCTCCATTCTTCTCTCTGTGTTACCAGTTAAAAGTTAACAACAAATTGCATGGGCCTGATCAATACAAAGTGATTATTCATGAATGTGTATATGCATATGAATAAATGATACCATGCATTAGATTAGAGAATGATTATATTCATATCAGCTTTTTTGCTTTTTCCTGTGATGATGGTGTTAGAGTTTTATTTTAGCATTGTCATTTTAGATCATTTTTAAGTTGATTTAAAATATAGCTTCTTGTTTTATGGCGCCATTCAAAATGCATTTAACGTCTGTAATGTGACATATTTCAAAGTTAATATACTGTAGAAAACACCGTAGAATAGGACTTTTAACTTTCTGGATTTTATTTAGCATGTAAAGTGAGCGTGGCCAAGATATATGATAGGCTAAAATATCAATATTACTCATCTCAGTCCATGTAGCCTTGGATACATTGCCAGAAATATTGTTGATGAAAGCCTATGCATTCAAAAAAGTGCAACATGAAGAAACAAAATAATCAATTTAGATTTCATATTGTCAAAAACAAAAGCTTAAGGTGATAGCACGGATGCCTTAGTTAATTTTTTCTTGCTCATTAGTGTTTAATCTAATCTTCAACCCAGCTGCAAATCTCCCCCTAGTGGAAGGATACGTTCTTGTTCCTGCTGAGCCAACATGGCGTGCTCAATGTGAGCCATGATGGAGCTCTGCACAGCGTCCATGTGGCTGGTGACTCTCTGTAGAATGTCCAGCTGGTTCTGTCTCAGCTCAGCGATCTCCCTTTGCTGGCTCCGTAACATCTGTAGGAGCTCATCCTGCACCTCTGTGCTCATCTGAGGACACAACAGCACATTTATAAGAGTTGTAAGAGTCATAGCAGTCACAGCAGAACATTCATGCTACTGAGCTTACCATGTTATTCATCAGGTTCTGTCTCCACTGCATTAATGTTTTATTTATATTATGAATCACAGTGACTGGACATAAAACAAGCCTTCATGCATTTTCATTGGATTTACACAATACAAATGCTAAGAAATGCATTCAGATTGTGATGCAGGGGATCAACAGACTTACCTGGTTCTCAATCTGTCTAGACTGTGAGGACTCTCTGGGTAGGGAGAAAAACAAAGATGATCTAATCAGGCACGCAATCAGATTATGCGACTGAAGGGGCTCACTGCTCAATCCAATATTAAACAATATAAATATTAATATCATGGAGATTTCCATAGTAAGGAGTGCAGCTCACTCACCCTTCATCCTTCTTGCTCTTCCTCTTGAGCTTAGGGGAGCTGCGGGGAGATGTTTTCCAGTCTTTCACAGGAAGTCTGTGAGAGGAGCGAGGGCCACAATTTCCCGAGGAGGAGGCCAGACTGGCAACCTCATCATCATGATCACTGGCCATCACAGCAGGAGCAGAAAATAAAAGGAAAAGACAAAAGATGAGCAAAATTATCATCAAGGTATTGAAGACTGACACTACAGGTGTCGGAAACCCCCTAGACACAGCCCTTAATTTGCATATTCACCATTATCTTGAGTCTTTGAGAGTCATGCTCAGACTTGTTCGGACATGCACTGATATGCAGATGTGAGGAAGGACTCGGAGTAAATAAGTTCTCAATACATACACACTACAGTTACTTTAATTCAGCAAGGATGTATTACTGATTCAAAGTGACGGTAAAGATTTTTATATTGTCGCAGATGATTTATATTCAAAGAATCCTGAAAAATATCTTTCACTGTTTGCACAAAAATATTATGCAGCACAATTGTTTTCAACATTAATAATAAGAAATGTCTCCTGAGCACCAAATCAGAATATAAGAATGACTTGAAGGATCATGTGACACTGAAGACTGGAGTAATGGCTGCTGAAAATTCAGCTTTGCCATCAAAGGAATAAATAAGATTTTAAAATATATCAAAATAGAAAACAACTATTTTAAATTGTAATAATCCAACAATATTACTGTTTTACTGTATTTTTGATCACACAAATATAGCCTTGCTTAGAACAAGAGACTTTTAAATATAAAAAAAAAAAAAAAACTTTAAATATAAACCTTTTAACCTTTACAAGTAAAGGTAAAAATATTAAAAGTGATAAGTTATTAAAATTGATCAATCATCCATAAGAACAATTGTTTTTAAATATGATTATGATAATTAGGCCCAGATGCTAACTATACATTAAATATTGTATTTTTTAATTGCAGACAGCTGTAATAGTTTTCCTTAAGAAAACTGACAAGCCATAAATATATTTTATTGGAGCATAAGAAGCATAAGACATGTCTCCTTTTGTTTTGTTAAACGTATTATAGTTTTGGTATCTTTATTTGAAGAATATATATCCCACATAATAGGATATGTATTAGAACTCAGGATCCCATCTTATGTTTAGTAACCATGGCAATTTCAGTTCAGAACTGATTTAGAACACTGAACTTCTTATTGAAAAAACTCGAGTCGTGACCATTTTCTTGCATGTCCTTGATATGAATCGCTCACATCAGTGATGTCAGCGAAGGTCAGACTATCATTCAGACAATTTAAAGAAAACCATGTAGTGTTGCCATTTCTAATTAAGTTACCAGACACCTGTTAAAACACTGATTTTACAACTGGCACAAATGTTAATTTTAACCCTGTTTTTAGGCCACACACCACAGTATTTTGAGTTTTTTTTAGAGCTTAACATGGCAAAACAAGCAGATGCAAAGTTAAGATGGATGGACAGCATAAATTGAGAAAATGTGAAAAACAAGTATAGTAATTTGACCTGAGCTACAGAAGTGGCACAGACACCTGCATAGGTGATACACCAGAATGTAAAGTGTACCTCTGCTCTGCACTTGCATCTTGACTATCGTTCTGAGTCAGGTGATATGTGCGCCTGTGGTATGGAGAAGAAATGTGTCTGTCCTTTATTTCCTCCCTAGAGCTGGAAGGAAACAGTCAAAACAAAGTTATCAAATGTGTTAGCCTTGTATCTTCAAATATTATCACCGTTTGCTCAAAATTTATCATCTCTCTATACACCACACAAATCATAAAACTCCCAGACACATAAATCAATACTAAATGTTAATATTAACTAAACATATCAACATAAATCACAAAACACATAAAAGAAAATATGCACTACTGGTCAAATGTCTGGAATAATTAAGAATTAAGTGTCTGAAATAAGTATTTGTATTTGATCGTAAATGCAGTAAAATCGTTAATATAGTGAAATATTATTACAATTTTAAAGAACTGTTTTTGCAAAAATATTAAGCAGGACAACTGTTTTCAACATTAATAGTAATAAGAAATGTTTCTTGAGCACCAAACCAGCCTATTAGAATGATTTCTAGAGGATGATGTGCCACTGAAGACTGGCATAATCGCTGCTGAAAATATAGCTTTGCCATCACAGAAATAAATTACATTTTAAAACGTTTATTATACATTACAATAGAAAACAGTTATTTTGAATTGGAATAATATTTCACAAGATCACAAATGCAGCCTTGGTAAGCATAAGAGGCTTCTTTCAAAAACATAAAAATCACAATTATTCTAAACTTCTAATCAGTTGTGTATAAAAAAATATATTATAGAGCACCCTCTTACCAGTCTCCCAAACCATTGTCTCTCAGGCTGTTGCGAGTTTCTCGTGTGATATCAGGTGCTGCGGGCCAGGTGTGGTTCACGCTGCTTTCCAAACAGGATCCTCCAGCCGCTACTGCGTTCTCCTGCGACAGAGCCGTCTCCAGCAGGGAGGGTGTGTTATTGAGTCTCTGTTCTCCATCCACAGATGCTGCACCCAATTCCAGAGGCAGCAAACTGTGCTCAGCACTGCTCCGGGCTCTTGGAGACAACAGGTGGAGGACTGATGCGGCTGATGCCATGCTGTCAGAATGCAGGACAGGGCCCGAGTCAGCAGCGGCACCGGCCAGCCCCCTCTGCAGGGTCTCTGAGGCGATCTCGGGGATGTCCAGGGACATTGCCGTAGAAGCAGAGGAGATGACATCTGGAGAGCGAGCTCTGGTCGGAGAGGCCTGGGGGACAACCATGGGGTCTATGGCCTGGAGATCCAGGGAGAGAGGAGGGTTTGGAGGGGAAACCTGTGGAAGAGGAGATGGGAAATAAGGAAGGGGAAGTCTGTGAGAATAAGGAGCAGCTTCACAGAGCAGAGAGGCCTCTCGCAGGAGGGATGTGGAGAGCACAAGTGGGGGAGAGAAAGCCTAACCGGATGGAGTGGATGGAGGGATGCATTAGGAACAAAAGAATTGTTAAATGAGTTTTTCATTTAAATCGGATCTTAAAAGACTGACAGTCTGTGCTGTAATTTGGTGAGTGCTGAAATCTGATTTGAATTCTTCAGATGGATAGTCAATACTGATATTGCCTACGTTATATCTACCATAATGACATAAGCATTTAAACTGTTCAAAATTTTACTGGCAGAAAATTTTTTATTTAATAAATGAATATGCATAAAATTTATCAAAAGTGACAGCAAAATACTTATTTCATAAGATACTTCTTAAAAAAAACAAACAAAAAAAACAACAAAAAAATCAACCAACCCAAATTTGAATATTTTGTAACAATGTCTTTACTGTCATTTTTGATCGATTTAATACATCCTTGCAGAATAAAAGTACTTATTTCTTTCTTTCAATAAATAAATAAATAAATAATAATATATTAAATTTAATTTATTTTTTACTGCCCTGATGCTATATGTCTATTAGTGCTGGGCGGTATGACCAAAAATTTACATCACGGTATTTTTCAAAATGATACCGGTTTCACGGTATATGACGGTATTTATTTTTTTCATGCATGACTGGGTGTTAACCATATTTTCTACTCATTGAGAGAGGAAATACTGCAGTAGATTGACTTGTATACTTATATAAAAAAAAAATAATAATAATTAAAAAAAATACTACTAAGATAACAATACTACTACGAATTCTACTAATAAGAACAATATAAAATGCACTAAGGATTAATGACCTGCTGGGTTCATGAATATTAATCGGGTTGTGTGCGTTCGCTCAAACTAATAATAATTTAAAAAAATACTACTAAGATAACAATACTACTACGAATTCTACTAATAAGAACAATATAAAATGCACTAAGGATTAATGAGCTACTGGATTCATGAATATTAATCAGGTTGTGTGTGTTCGCTGAACCGATTTGCTGAAATCAAAACAGGGACGATAATAGGTGAGCGTCAGCCAAAGAGATTGCAGTGCGCATTAGTTCCACCCACTACCGGAGAACTCGTTCGTTCTTAAAAGCTGAAGAATTCCAAAGGAACTCCGTTATTTTGACAGCAAAATACAACAAAGAATATCGTTTACATGTAGCACGTCAATTCTGCATGGTATGTAAGATTCTCTCTCTCTCTGTGTGTGTGTGTGTGTGTGTGTGTGAGTGAAAGCGCCGGCGAGTTGCAGTAGCCCCTCACTGCAGAAAACAAGATACAGGGGGTGTGGTTGGATCCACATCTAGGGGTTGGAGATGGGTGGGTTTAGGTATATGTAAGGTGGTAGGGGTTGGATCTGGATCCAACCACGCCCCCTGGATCTTGTGTTCTGCAGTGAGGACCATCTCGCGAGTTGTGCGACTTTACACCAGAGTTTACGGTATGCCAAATACAGGTGCATCCATTCAGATGAACTGAAAAATATCACAGATCGCTTGACAGAGAATGAAACTCTGAAGAGCTCAGTTAGTGTGTTCGGAGAGTGAAAATATATCTGTGCTAAACTTTAGCCTCCAACTCACACACTGGCGAGCAAAATCTAAGAATTTATTAGCCATTGGCTAATATTAGACATCATTTAGTCGCCCAGAGTGAAGATTTAGTCGCATACGCAAGTGATTTACTCGCATTGTAGAAGGTTGTCCATCTTCAACGTCATGCTTAGTAACACATACAGCTGTGCCCTCACCACAATGCAACAGTAAAAAGAAACTTTCAAACAGTGTCGCGCCACACTGCGCCGCATTCCAAACTTTAAACAAACATTGTTTAAGTGACATACACCGGTACTGCGGTATATTAAAAATCCATATTAGGGCTGCAACAACTAATCGATAAAATCGATTATGAAAATCATCGACAACGATTCTTATTATCGATTAATCGTGTCTGCCCACAGTGCACGTCCAACGGAGTTTACATACTTGTCCAACTTCAGCCGGTCGCGTCAAATGAAATTTGATTTGAATACTGAATTTTACTTATTTCTATGGACAAAATGCATCTAAAATAGTGGAGGAAACAGAATGAGATGCTGCAGGAGAGTTACGTGATCCAAGCTGCCCAAAACATGAGAATTCTTTATTTTAAGCTTTAAGCTAATGCATTAGCGTAATGGCTTGCCCTGTCAGGCGCTTTAACAGATGCGTGTGCGTCCTCAGCGCAAAAAAAACTTTCAGTTAACGGTCATATCCTTATGTATAAATGTCACAAATTCACGCTAGCGTTTCCATTTTTGCATAAAAGTTCCGTCCTGACAGTCTGTTAAATTTTAATCTTTACTGAATGAGCGCCAGCGCGGCAGGCGCGTGCACGCGCGTCAGACAGACGGAAAACAGAGGCAATTAATAATCAGCGCAAAAACATTTATTGTGCTGAAATATCTGTAAACATTTTTTAATTTAAACAATTTTTTGACAGATTTCTAAAATTCCTAAAATGTGTTTTCTCTTTATTATGGCAGGTGGTCTAATAAATTGTTAAGCACTGTATGTTTTCATAGCATTCAGTTGGAACGTTTGTTTTAAGGACATTGGGCAGAATGTGGAATAGTGTGTTTTTGTCAATAAAATAAAAAAAGAAAATTGTTTGTTTTTAATCCGATTAATCGAAAAAATAATCGACCAACTAATCGATTATCAAAATAATCGTTAGTTGCAGCCCTAATTCATATCATTAAAAAAATAAACAACGGTATTCGGTATGAACCAGTATACCGCCCAGCACTAATATCTATCTTACAAAATAACTTCTCTCACACACCAAAACAAAGACAGGGCTACTGGACATCAATATATCACTATATGCAGTTTGACATGTCCATTAGTACCTGGATATTTTCCCCAAGGCCTGAGATGAGGATAGAGTTGGATCTTGGACTGCCTGCGCTGGCATTCAGAGTCAAGCTGCTGTTGCCACATTCGACAGACATTTTAGGGCTCTGGGCCAGATCATCTCCACCTCTGGAAGAAAGAAAATTGAGCAATGCCTATGAGTGCATGAGAGGACACAGGGCCCCACGTTTTACACTCAGATGTGTATTTCTTATCACACTGTGTAGATGAGACAGTAGGATCCACAATTCTCAAAACACTCATGAAAACCTGGAAAGTTTGGGGACTTTAAAAAATGTGAAACAGAAAGATTATAAATGAGTTAAATTTGCCACCTTGCACCGCTATCTGAGCTGCTCATGGCCGTGACTATGGTCAGGCTGCTGGCACTGCTGCCAGGAGAAGCAGGCATCTGAAAAAACAAGAGAGCAAAGATGAATAATCACCCTCTCTGAAGAGACCTAATGATGAATCTGTAGTATTAAAAGCTTACGGAGGCGCTGGGCATCATGAAGGCATCTGGGGTCATGAGTTTGGGCAAGGCTGATGGGGCTGGACTCATGAAGTCAGCTGGAGTTGGAAGAGCCAGAATCTTACTCAGGTCATTCTGTGATCCACTATCACCAGACTCTTTATCAGAGCTCATTGCCTCCACATTCAGATCAGCCAGTGGGTCAGAAAAACCTAGGAGGGAAATGCATTTTATATAATTTAAGAAATTTAGCATTTAATTTTAAAATTAACAAGTACACCATTTTCTTTCTCAGCAATGAATTCAGACTGTAAATTCTGGTATAAAGTATTTATTTTGCTATAGCACTGTAGATTCAGCAGTGGCAGTCTAGGAAACATGTATGCAAAATAAAATATATACAGTATATACACATTTCTAGACTTACCAAAGCCATCCTGTGATCCAGACTGTGGCATGAAGAGGGAGGAAGAGGCCCCCTGATTGGGCTGGAACCAGATCTGCACATCCTGTAGTGATCTGAGGGCATAAGAGAGTGTTACATCACTACAGATCTGAATGCAAACTTCATGTCTTCATTGAGAGCTTTTTTTATTTGAGTAACTCACTTTGTATGCACACAGTAGAGTTTAATCTGGATTCCTGATTTGGACTCCGAGGGTCCCTGGTTTCCTTCTGTGAGAAGATATTATAGACAAAAATATTAGAAAGCATCAATTGAACGTATCTTCACTCAACTTACAGAAAGACAACAAACATTTGCACACACAAAATGCATGAAAATAAGGAAAGCAACTGACCTGTCGTCATGCTTTCACTTTCCTCATCAGGGGGAAGGACTTCTGTGTGGCGCAGTCTGGCGCGTGCGACATCCTGTACGCCGAAGCTGAGCACAGGGTGTGTAAGCAGAAACTCTGAAACTGCAGTGAAGCTGGCACAGCCTTTTTCCTGATCCTGTAACAGCTCCATGACGTACAACACCTACATATCAAACACACAACCCAAAGTCAGCTGCTAATAAACAACCAGTTACTCATAACCACAATGTCATCATTTGCTTGTTGTAATAGCAACACTGACCTAAACTCAAGAATCCTATTTAACAGGACATATGCTAGAGTAGGCCAACTGACCGTGTTTAATTTGCTTTGATACTTCCTGTCTTTCTACCTGTCCCAAAGTCATTTCTGAAATTCCTCAAACTTGAAGATTGCCCTATTTTTAGTCCTTTCCAGAACTGAGACAATGATTAGATTTCACACTTGCTGTTTGTAGAGGTTTTCTGTCAGGTTTGATTGTCAATGATTTCAAATGGCATCGGTTCTTGAATAAATACATATGAATAAGATTTTTAGGAAACAAAGACTTAAATTTAATTTGTATGGAAATAAGCAACATTAGGCAAAATAACTTCTTTTGGTTTCCAATTAAGAAAGAAAAGTCATACAGGTTTGGAACGCCATGAGAGTAAGTAAACAAAACTAGAGCCCTATATAAGAAACAGCTGCTTAAAACAAGTGGAAAACATGGGCAGAATGGCAGAATCTAGTCATAAATATGGAATTTAGCTTCTTAAGTGGAACGTCAACGAATTTGGCAAAATTTGGAAGAATAAAAGAAAAGGCTGCACAAAGGATAAAATTGAAATGGACTAGTGTCAATGAAAATTAAACTACAATAAGACTGCTACTTGATCTGCATGTCTGTGTGTGACAGAGCAGCGCAGTTTCATCTACTACACACTCAAGCATGACTTTCATGGTGTCTACAGCGTCTGCCGTCTCTGCATACAAACTTCTGCTGCTCTTTTACTTCACATTTTTTTATTTAAATACACACACAAAGAACATTAAATCATAACACACTGAATCTAGTAAAATTAAAACGCAACAATTTCAAAAAGAAAAAAAAAATCATAGGGCATTACTATTGTTAAAATTTTAAGTTTTATGAAATCAGTTGATTACACATGCTTTTTGATTATTACATTTATTAAACCAATAAACACTGAATTTTGGAGGAGAAAAAAAATCTGGTTTGGGATATATATATATATATATATATAGAGAGAGAGAGAGAGAGAGAGAGAGAGAGACAGAGAGAGAGAGAGAGAGAGAGACAGAATATATAAAATAATAACGAGCCTGACCTTCCTCTGAACATCACTGAGAATGAGAAATTCTGCAGACAGGTCCAAACTGGCCTTCAGGCTGGGTAGTACACTGCTGTTGAATGGATCGGGGGAAAACCTGAAACACACAAATTCACAGTTCTTCTAAAATTCACAAAAATAAGCTATCATATCCACAGAGGAGAAATATTTATGCTCAAGCTTGAACACCAAATAACATATATCGAACAATTAAGAAATGAACAGACCTGATAGTTTGTAAGCACGTCCATGACACTGTGCACCACATCTTAAGTTCCTGGTTCTGATCAGCTCCAGTGATCAGGAAGCGCCAGAAAGGAACTCTTCAGAAGAAAATCAATGGCTAAGTTTAATGCATAGCATGTGTATAGGACACAATTTCAAGTAAAGACAACCGCAAAAACAGCTTAAAGCCCAGTGACAAGATTCCCTGATGACTTGGGATGCTGACTTTGAATTTGGACCACTGAAGACTATATGAACTTCATACTCACTCTGGGTCTTGCTTCTTGTGGTTGTCACAAAAGAGCAGGCAGGAAAGAGGCCGTCCATTATGTGGCTGCCATTCATGCAGGCATCTGCGAAAGGAGCAAGTTTACTTACATTTTTCACAAGGCTATCGATTTAGTTATAGGACAGCTTTAGAAGTATAATCAATAACAAAAAAAATCTAACTATTATTGTAATATTGCTAATCATTATTAACAGTATAACTGATTATTGATTATATGTTAAAAACATTAAATACAATGACAACACATTTATGTGGCAATTACAGTCAAATGTTTGTAATATACATTTAATAACATTATTGTACACAGAGTATTTAGAGTATTGTAAATTAATATATTAGCATATTTTTTCCTTGTCAGCTAAAAGCAATACATGTTTAAATAATTGAGAAATACTTTAAAGCTACATGCCACTGTTTGATTTATTAATATTTATACACTACCGTTTGGTTGGTTTGGAGTCGGTAAGATTTTGTGTTTTTGAAAGAAGTCTCTTATGCTCATCATGGCTGCATTTATTTAATGGAAAAAAGTAATAAAACAAGTTACATTGTGAAATATTACTATAAATAAATGTAAAGATTTCTATTTAATATGTGATGGCAAGCATGATTTTTAGCAGCCATTACTCCAGTCTTCAGTGTCACGTGATCCTTAAGAAAACATTTTAATATGTTTACTTGGTTCTCAAAAACATTTCTGATCTGTTATTATCAGAATTTATTCTATCCTGATTCAATTGACAGTTGAAAAAAGTTGAGCTTCTTAATATTTTTGTGGAAAACATAATACATTTTTCTGCATTCTTTATAAACAAAGTTTAAAAGAACAATATTTATCTGAAATAGAATTTTCTGGTAACATTACAAATGCCTTTTTGATCAATTTAATGCACCCTTGCTGAATAAAGGCATTCCTTACTATCTTTCAAAAATAAATCTTACTGACCCTAAATTTTGAACAGTAGACCATGTTCAATTTCATAATGTCTCAGTACCTGGGTTGGTCCTGTCCTTCAATGTAGATTTGCCAAAACTTTACAAATCCATCATGACTGGCTGTGGCCAAGACCGTGCCATCAGGGGACAGAGCTCCCTCACTAATGCGCTGCAAAAATAGAAATACGTTTAATAATAAACATCACACCCTATAATTCACTTATGTACTATTGCAATTACATTAAATCTAATTTCTTGATTAGTTAATACAACACTGCAGACACAATATTGAGCTGAAAGGCAGCAGGACTTACTGCTGTGTGTCCTCTAATGGTGATGAAGCCCTCTTTCAGTTCTGTGGCATCCACAGGCCATGAGCTGTTATTGGATCGGAGGATGTCAAGGTCCCAAACCTCAGCCTACAAGCACAGTGAGGAGAGTAATAGTGTTAAAAACATTTAAAATCTAATAATATAAGGACATTTTGGAAAGAAAGTGATAAAACTGTCAAATTCCAAGGATATCGTACTCTGTCTTCATGAAGGAGTGCCAGTGTCTGACACGCATCCTCTGGGTTCTCATCATTGTCCTCCGGGATGAAGGGACACCAGATGAGTCTGCGGTTGGAATTTAGTGGGGTGTCCTCAGGCCTTCGGATGTGAACGATCACTTCATCGCTAAGAAACATCAATGTTAAGGAGAAACAGCAGAGTTCACCTGCTCATTAGCATTATACTACAATACATGTAGATCCAGATGTTTTTTTTTTGAGAAATAAAGAAAATAAATATATTACAACCTTACAATTTGACTCTTTTTGTATTAAATAAAAAAAAAAAAACTTTACTGGTCTAAAACCTTCAGGAATCTCATTAACCTGCTGTTTTTGATGATTTAGTAACGAAACGCGAAAAATCTTTATCATAATTCCTGTTCAATCTACAGAGGATACTGTATTTTGCTGCTGTGGCTAGTGAGCTGCCAAATGAACATGTTTCCAGCCTCATCCACGCAGCCCAAAACGGTGGAGTCCAAGTGGGCGAAAGCAAGGTCTGTGACTGCACCGGTGAAGCCCTTCAGCAGCGAACGCTCTGTTGATCCCAGCCGCAGCACTCGGATCATAGAATGATTGTTTGCGCCTGTGAGTGAAAAACGATTACAAACCATTCAGCTGAATCCCATCAACATTTTATTCAAAGGACTGTACTGAATGAGCCATGGACAAAGACAGTGTGCAAACTGACCTCTGATGGCATAAGCCAAGTATGAGTTGGACACGGCTATTAAATTGCCATAGTAGTACTTGTGCTCCCAGTCATATTTGGCCACTGGCTGAATTTTAACCTATAAGAAAAGTCATAAGGAAAAGATTTAGAAAGCAAAAAACTATTTCCAGGGTTTCCACTCGCTTTGACTATTTTCCAATAGTTCATTTAAAAAAAAATCATTATATAAAGATTTCTAGCCAAGTAAATTTTTCACAACTGAGCACTAGTGGAAGATTTTACCGACTAGAAATTTCCATTGTTTTCACGATTTTATTACATTCAAATTACTTTCCACACCTGGAAACACCAAATAAAAATTCAATGATTTTCCTAGGTTTTCAATGACAGTGAATCCCTGAACTGCTAATAATAAAGAGTTTTGCACAAGTTCATTAATTTACACACCTTGTTGCTGCCACGAGCCTTACTGTCAATACTAGAGTCATGACTGGATACAATTTCAACATTGATTGCTCTGATGGGGACACAGGTGGACCCATCGTCTCCTGAAAGGCAGCTGGTACCAAAAAAAACAAAAACAAATATTAAGACCTCTAATGGCTCTAATATATATA